CTGCCCAGGGGCGGCACGCCCGCGTCGCGCGCGCTCACCTGGAACGAAGCAGCTGCAGCTCCTCGTGGTCCAGCGGCTGCAGCGCGAACACCTCGCCGCTCTCCGCGCGCACCGACACGTAGCTCGACAGCGCGCGCGCGCCCACCCGCCGCTCCACCAGCGCGTACGACACCCGCGCGTTCTCCCGCGCGTCCGCGTCCCGCGCCGACACCGTGAAGACGTGGCAGCCCGGCGGGTTGTTCTCCTTCACGAACACCGTGTACTCGGGCTGCGCGAAGGCGGGCGCGTTGTCGTTCACGTCGGCCACCTCCACCGCCACGCTGGCCGTGGCCCACCGCGAGGGCGAGCCCCCGTCGCGCGCGGTCACCACCAGCTGGTAGGCCGACACGCTCTCGCGGTCCAGGGCGCCGTCCAGCACCAACGAGTAGTAATTCTTGAAGGTGGACACCAGCTTGAAGGGGACGTGGGGCGTCAGGGAGCAGGTGACCTGTCCGTTGGCGCCAGAGTCAAGGTCAGTTACACTGATCAGGGCGATGACCGTCTCCACTGAAGCATCCTCTCGCACAGGGAGTGATAGCGATGTTACTACTAACTCTGGAGGGTTATCATTGATGTCCAACACTTCTACCAAGATTGTGCAGTGACCAAACATTGGGGGATTGCCTTTGTCAACTGCCTCTATTTGAATCTTCCATAATTTAGTTTCCTCAAAATCTATTTTTCCATTTACTTTTACTTCCCCACTGGCTGAATCTATGTGAAAAGAGGCTTCTGTGTTAGGGGAGACATCAGTTGCAAAGAAATAAAGAATGTGGCTGTTTGAACCCTCATCCGAATCCGAGGCGTTAAGTCTAGTAATCAATGTACCGTTTCTTGCATTTTCCAGTAATTTTACATGATAGACTGCTTTGTCAAACACCGGGGCATTGTCATTTACATCCAGCACTGTGATGTGTAACTCTACCGTCCCTGTCAGCTCAGGTTTGCCCCCATCAGTTGCTTTGAGCACCAAGAGAAGCTGCGAAGAGACTTCTCTGTCTAAAGATTTTTTTAGTACCAGTCCGAGAGGTTTTACCTGCTCGTCGTTGTTTGGTACCTCCAGCGAGAAATATTCACTGGGGCTCAGCCTGTAAGTCAGCAGTGCGTTGACCCCGACATCTGCATCCAAGGCGCCCTCTAGTGAAAAATGGGAGTCAAGAGCCCTCGTTTCGGAAATAAACAGATTCTTTTGTCTGGTTGGGAACACCGGCGGGTTGTCGTTAATGTCCCTCACCTCCACCTCCACGTGGAAAACCTGCAGCGGCCGCTCCACGATCACCTCCAGGTGGATGCTGCACTCCAGGCTCCGCCCGCACAGCTCCTCGCGGTCGATCCGAGAATTCACAAACAAAATGCCGTTCTGCAGATTCACCTCCAGAAGGTCCCCGCGGCCCTTGGACGCCACCCGGAACAGGCGCGGCACCAGCTGGGCCAGCTCCAGCCCCAGGTCCTGCGCGATGCGGCCCACGAAGGTGCCGTGCTTGGCCTCCTCCGGGACCGAGTAGCGGAGCTGGCCGCTCCCCGCCTCCCAGGCTGCGACGAGCAGAAGAAAGAGTAGCAGGCGCCGGGATCTCGAGTTTCCTGGTCTGGCAACTAACATCATGCCTCTCCTTTTGTTCGTAAAACAATATTTCGAGACTAGCAAGATGTAGTACCTTTGAGACTTTTCATCTGATTCCTCGCTCCTGAGATTCCAGCTGATCTTAACAATATGAGTGTGTTTATAGTCCTTACAGCATCGGAACAGTGGAGCGTCTTTATGATCCAGGGATAATCTTATTTTTCTTCCGTTAAAAAAACTCTTCTTGAAGAACAACGACATCCTGTGGCTCAAAATGTAAGTGCGTTTGAGTTCCTATATTATACTTACGTTGCTTCTTTCCCAATTCCTTCATATGCGTCCATGTTTTTCTTTGTAGGTTTCTAAGTCTCACTATACTTTCTTTGTGTGTGACCAGTAGCCCTTTAAAAGTGATTTTGTCTAACAAATTAGAATTCTATGAAGAGTTTTATCTTGTATGTAGACATCTAAGAACACATACTACTGCACTAACTATATTATCATGTATATGAATATAAAAAAATTTGTAGGATACTAGTAATACTGCTTTTTGACATTTTAAAGAAACTGATCACTTTGGAATAGCCTTTAATATAGTTTGTTTCTAGCGCTCTACAATTTTCTATTGTTTAATCCCTATACTATGTTAAATTATTCTAAACATTTGGTCCACTTGTTTAAAGGATAACTCAAGAACAAATTACCTTCTCAGCATAATGGGATCTCAAATCAATGCTGATCATCTACCTGGATAAATTTGTTTATCCACAAATTTCTTTCTTTACTGTTAATGAATTTACCCAGTACTGACTTCTGGAAACACTATGTATGTTTATAAGACATAACATCATTTTAAAGGTTTTTTTTTTTTCAGTCACTGTATCTGCTTAGGGTGAATTTTGTAGTTCCATCCTGAAGGATAACTTCAATGTGCATTATATTTATTGTTTATTTGACAAAGATACCCTCTTTCTCATTTAAAAAAAAGCAGAATCAAGAATTCAACTTGTATTTATCTGTTTATACCTACTTTGTTCTAGAATGGATTTGAGGAGATAAAAATATAAAGGTTATTCTAAGTTTCATTCATTCCATTTTATTTTCTTGTTTCTATTTCAAATATAAAATAAATTAAAATTTGCATAACAAATTTAATACATAACAATAAAGTTTATCATTGTTGTTTTGAAGAAGAAAACTTTTATTCATTCTCAAGACTATAAAGAACCAAGTAACCAACATCTGGATTGTTCTAGCAAGATGGTAACCATTGAGAAAGTCTCAAATTTTCATACTAAAAAACGATTGTAAATGCACATCCAAGGAAATCTTAGGTTTTATATATAAAAGTGAGCTTTATCTTTATTTTGAGCACTTTCTATAATAGCAATTGGATGATTATAAAACTATGCCAAAGATTTATAGTTCTAATTACTTTTTTTATTGTGAAACACATAAATTCTAGGCCAACATATTGCAGAAGAAAAGAGTAACAAAAATTTTAGCTCATGGATGTGTCTAAATTCAGAAAGGGATATTTTTTAAAACCTCCTTATTTTTGCAGACTGAAATGAACCCAGTGTCTTTGGCAATGACTCCATGCTGAAGGTCCATTCCATGTTTGATTTAAAGAATGATTTCTTTAATTAAGTACACACAGAAGATAATTTTAAAGTCCCTAATTCCCAAATCTTTCATGTAGCAAAAAACTATAGCATGCCAGTAAAGCTATGAATTCATTACTCATCTCAAAACAGACTGTCACAAATACTATGTCAACAAGAACTAAAGAGCATTTAAGGTACATTTCATTTTCATGTCATCTAATAAAAAAAGTTAAACATGATTATAAAAGTAAGATCTATAGTTTAAAAAGCTTCATTCCTTAATTGGCAAGAATGTAAAAAGCAATCTTTGAGTTGAGACATTTTATGGTTTCGTACCTCTAAATTGAATGGAAGAAATTATCCTCAAAGTTTTAGAAATATTTACCTTAATAAAAAAAAAACCAGAGTAAGACAGTGTCTGACTGAAATCTTTTAGTAAAATTTGTCTTTGTTATCTCTCAGCTTCTCTTTCTCCTTTCTGCACTTCTTCTTCTATTGATTTTAGGATGATTATGCTGCTGGATAAAAAATGCTAGCTAGTTATATTAACATTTTTTGAATATTGGTATTTTTATTTTTAAATTTTATTTATTTATTTATTTTTTAAACAATATTGGTCTTTTTAAAGGAAATATGTCCAAAAGAAGGGAAAGTAAAATAATAGCACTAAATTGGTAAGCACAAAATTATACGTTTTATTAATCGCTCAAATGAATAGATATTTTTGGATAAGACTTCTGCAGAGGTTGCATATTGGCATTATAAAGAGTCAACAGAGAGGGCAGATGTTAAGAGGAAGGAATTAGATATACAAGTTGAAATGAAGTCATGTATGAAGGACGTTGACAGGTCTGGGTTTTTTTTATTACAAAATATCAGAAAACACTCAAGTCCAAAATTAATTTAAAAACACAATTTTCAGTTTGGTAATGGGAAATCACAATATGTACTTTAGCAAATGAGAAAAGATTGAGCTGTACATATTGATTTTAAATAAACTTTAACTGTATCTTCTTTGGTTGTATAATCTAAAGTATGACTCTGAGTTTAGTCAGAATCCATCTTGTTGAAAAGTTAATATAAAAACTGGTAAATGAAAAATATGAAAAGTCAGAGAATTGAAAAATACACAATAACTCAGTATATTATGTCTATATTAGAAAGAACAAGGAATTATAAAAGTAGAGCTAGCCACAATTTTATATATATATAAAATTTATACACACACACACACACACACACACACACAACAGTAGGCATTCTGTCTCTGAAACTTAGGGAGTCCAACCAAGATATCTTGACCTTGGAGGTTAAATTACAAAAATTTTTAAACTTTTATTCATTTCAAAAACAGGGACTTGCTCTGTCTCCCAGGCTGGAGTGTAATGACATGATTATAACTTACTACAGCCTTGAACTCTTGGGTTCAAGGAAGCTTCACCCCTCACCTCTCAGGTAGCTATGACTAAAGGTGCATGCCACTATGTCCAGCTAATTTTTTTTTTTTTAAGTTTTAGAGTCAGGGTCTAACTATGTTGCCTAGCTAATCTTGAACACCTAGCCTTGCCCTCCCCAAAGTGTTGGTATTACAGGCATGAGCCATGCATCTGGCCTTAAACTGTCTCAGCATTTATACTGCAAGATTTGAAATTGTATTAATTTATATTAGTATTGTTGGAGAGATGAATGTATCTGCATACCTGAGGCTTTTATGGTTGATATGAGTTCTTACTAAGGGGGAGAAAGGATACTTTGACATGATATAAGATACTCAAGGGATTTTTTTCAAATATCTGAGGGGGACATATATATTCCATAAACATATTCAATATAATAACAAGTACATTTTTTAACACCGCATTAACTTATCTATAATTTCTAAGAGCTAGAGACTGGCCATGGAAAGTAACATTGAAAGCAATGTGACACTTACATTCCTGCCACAATTGTCTTTTTTGGTATTCCTAAACTTGGATAATGATTTCAACCTTTATTGGCAGCTATTTATGAAACACATACTGAGTAATAACTTCAATTTCCATATGGCAAGGGGGAGGGAAAGGAAAAAGGAATTGCTAAGGACCATAGTCAAGATGATAATTTAGATGCATTGGTATTTGATAACATGAGAATTAATTTAAAATTTTTAATTGAAATTATGGGTATCAGGTAACAATTTCAGTAAAGCATAATTGATGGGTAGTTCCGCCACCATGCAATTTAATTGATTTGCTTTTCTGAGTCTGTATCATCCAACCCAATCTTGTTTAAGATGACTAGAGAAGCTATTAAACTAAGTGTACTGTATGATATCAGATCAGAAACAATCAGAAAACCTTGCCAGAAGATGGTTCTGTTGTTTGTTTGTTTTTCAAATTTCAAATACTAATTTGGACTAAAGCACGTATTTTCAATCTCCTTAAAATTAAAAATAGTTTTCAAGTGCTCCTTAAAATTAAGCATAATTATGACTCCTTCCTCAAATTGGGAAGCTAATACTTGAATATCATGAGCAATGCCTAATTCTGACAAAGGAGCAGATACGATGCTGGCTAAGATTTTGTAAATACTTATGAAATACAGTTTTTCTTCTGCTAAGAAATGTGAATAATATACACTAACACAGGTACCACTACTACTAAAATAAAAATTTTAAATATTTTTAAAGATCAAACATTTAATTTCTAACATTAGGAAATTCTTACCAATGAACTACTGGTCTATTTACTGCATTACAGAACAACTGCAATCGCTAAATATAAAAATCTACTATGCCAGTATAAGTTATGGGGCAAAAAAACACTTTCTATACTGAGAAAAAAATTTTTTTCACTGAAAAATGATATTGACCAGTGCAATTTTTGGTTAATGCAATAGAGTCAAATAAAAAGTTAGATTTGACAACAAAATAAACATCAATTAAAGTACTAATATTACAAATATTTGTAACAAAAAGTGATGATGAAAATAAATAATCAAAACTTCAATGTCTATCACATATTTGTACTGGAAAATACGAATGTACTCAGATTAAATGGTTATTTTAAAAATTAAGGTACCAAGCAAAGAATGACACACTGGAAAGAACAGACAAAAAAATAAAAGAACTTCTGATATAAACTATAATGCAAAAGTATTACTAGAAATATCTGAGCATAAATAGTATATAGACCAAAAAAATCCTAAAATACCCTGAGACATATATTTGAGAATAAATGAGGCGAGTAAAATACGAAAATAAGAATGCAATAACCCACCTTCCTAGAGTGGTCCCCTCCAATAGATTGATCATCCACTTCAGCATCTACCACTGGGCAGGGCGGAAGGCCGGGGCTGAAGGCCATGAGGTCGGTCTTGGGCGGGCCCTCCCCAGAGCACACCCTCTGCCGCCTCGGCCGCGAGGACGACCAGCTCCCCGCCGCGCTGGAGCACACCAGCGGGGGCTTGCCCGGCCCGCACGCGCCCTCGGGGGGCGGCGCCGAGCACCGCAGCGCCGTGTACAGCAGCATCGT